ATTTCAAATCACTTTAAAATTAAGCGCCAAAATCAATTCAAAAATGACACTAATACAAATACCATACATGTACATGGTTGGGCGGAAATGACTCTTAAATGTATGCTTTAATACTGATACTGAATTAAAGAAAAGTGCTAAGCAGCACTTGAGGAATAAATTTTAAATAGATTAAATTTTTTTATTTTTTATTTATTTTTTTTTTTTTGGATTTCCTATGTGAAAATTTAAAAGAAAAAAATTAGAACAGCATTTGACACTTGAGATGCCAGAAGCAACAACTATAGTTTGCTAAAGGCACTCTTGTTTTCAACAGAAATATATGCCCATTCCATTATTTCATAAGGAAAAATTAAGACAGCAGACTGTAAAATATCAGATGTCAAAACTCGATGGACATTGCTATTCACACACACAAGAAAAATAGCCATTCATTTCTTGGCCGTTTTCTTAAAAGGTGCGTACTTCGCTTTATACATTAAAATAAGCAAAATAAGCATGGTCGTTAAAATTAAGCAAAGGCTTAAACTTTTCGGTGCTGCTAATAATCTTTAGCATCTACATTTCGAATTCAATTTTTTGCTAAAAAAAGGGGGGAAATACCAATCAAATGGTGGATACCTTCACCTGCATTATCTACGATACTTAAAGTATTGATTAGAGTTAGAAAATAAACACTTAACTTAATAGGTTCAGCGCCAAAGGCAACTAAACTGATAAGTCGTTATACCGGAGATACTAGTATTTTTTTTTTTGGAAATGTACTGTTCGGTTAGAAGGGGGTTGAGTAAATGATGTGAAATTTTTGTATTTATGACATTTATTTTTTCCTCTCTAAGCCGAACCGGTTTATTTTATCAACTATTACCATGACTTTTTTCCACCTGCCTCCATATATTCGAAACACTGTGCGGTGTTATGGGAAGTCTGAGGCTTCATCCAGCGCGTCCAACTAGTCTCCGGTGAGTGAGTCTCTAGATTATTGTTATTATGAGCGATGAGCACTGTGACCTCCAGGGTGGTCTATTGTGCGTGGCCCTTTACCCTATAAGTGAAAGCTTTTAATATTGGCTAACACTTTCGTGGATTTTTTATTCCATATTTGGAATGAATTAAGTGTTATACCACCTATATGAGCGAGTCGTGAGTCCAGAAAGAGCAACACATTCACAAAAGATGTTCTCTGGCGTTTCGTTTCTGAAAGATTCATTTTACTGAGGTGATAAAGCAGGGAACAATGTCCCGTGAAGTACCCAGTGAGAGTTCTAAGGTCCTTCCTACCTAGATTTATGAGCTTTTTTGAAGCTTCTTGTAATGGACAGATGAACCGCATAGTTTGTCTTTGCCCTGGACAATCACTCCAGCGCCTATGGAATTTTTTGTCCACCCACTTGTTTATGGCTTCCCTGAGGTGCACTTTGTTGAGCCCACAAAAGGGTTCCGGGCAATGGTATATTGCGCTAGGTGGTCCGCCTGTTTACTGTCACCGTAGCGCTCATGCCAAAGCAGTCTGCCAGGTGAAAAACCTTTTCTGCCTTTACTTTTCACTGAGAAGGCACAATGAAAACTTTGCTGTAAACTGGTTAGCTGGTTTAAATTTTGTTTCATACATCGCTGTTGTGCCGTATCGGCGTGCATTAGAAGTAGCGAGTTGGTCGACTGACACGGAGTTAACTGTAATGTCTGTAGTCTGCAATATCCAGTGGCCGGTGATAGTCGCTACAATCCTAAATACATCTACCCTTGACCTACTTAGCCGGTCTGCTGTTCTTTTCCTGCTATAGCCAGGCCAAAGCTCACGTGCTATTTTGCAAGTCTGAATCTCTGACCACCTCTTCCTTGCCAGTTTCAGAAAGGACAAGTGTACTTCTGCTTATATTTATCTGAGGGGGTATCCTAGTACCAGTAGGAAGGACAAGTGCTGCGAAATTATTGGAGCCACTCAGCATTCAAGTATGAATATCAAATGCGCATGAATAAAACATAAGGATGTCTTTTATTACTTCGCAGTTTTGATCGTAAATTTACATTACACATACATACATAAACATATTTTAGTTTTTAAATTGTAGTTAACTTAGGTTTCAAATTCTATTTTTGTTTCATTTTAAATGTTGCCAATGTAATAATATGCAATTGAAGCTCACTTCAAATACACAGATGTATTTATGAGCTCATTTTTATTTAATACGATTTTTTAATTTTAATTCTTTCTTCACACCTTTATTCGATCAAAAATGCAATGTTGAAATTTTTAAAATTGTATTTTTACAATACTCTTTGAAATACAATACAGCAAATTTACTGATTTGGGAAAAAAAAATTAAATACGTAAATGAGTTTTCTTTCTATGCACTTAACTATGTAGTATGTGTGTATAATATTGTTGTTGTTTTTTTGTGTATGCATCTACTTATACAATTTTGAGTGAACATAAATTTGTTTCTTATTAAAATATGCCTAAACAGTCAATGCAAATTCAATAAAATTTTTTTTTTTTGTTTAATATAATCCAATGTAGTTTAGTTGAATCGTTTATGCATACAGTAAATATAATAACTATTATATTAGTAATTCGAAAAGAAAATGGTAAGCATTTAATATGTATAAAAGATATTCTAATAGAAATAAAGAAAGCGGATGCTCCTTTACACGCATCAATACAAAGCAACAGCCGCTTTTATATCTAAACTTTATTACTTTACTTTATTGAAAAATTTGTTGTTGTGGTTGTTGCGGCATACTTATTCTTTATGGTTGCGGTTTTTGAAAATTGATATAAATATGTATGTAAGTGTATTTAGTAATAAAAAGAGGCCAATGCTTTGCAGTAATGCGTTTAAGAAGACAGCCAATTTCGAAAATTTGGAAATACAAAATCATAAATCCAATTTAACATTGCTGGCGGAGATTGTTGTTGTTGTTTGTTAGTTTGTTTCTTTTGTTTTTGATTAAATTTATTTTGACTTGTTTTTGTTGGTTTATTTTCTTTTTCACCCCATTAAAACTAGACCCGAAATCGCCCTTAACGCAGACATATTGATTAGCGTACGTAATCTTCGTACATAAAAATCACAATGCAACTCATTTTTCGTACGCATATA